CATGTTGAATTTGGTGTGCATGATCTAATGGGATAAAACATTAAACCCACGGATGAATTTAACAAAATGCACACTATAATATATACTATAATTTATACATGTAAGTTGATTCTGTCCCATTGATTTCATGTTGAGGTTGAAAAACAGTAAGTGCCATATATTAATCTTGCCCATTCAACCTTTGAATCTTTTATATGGCATAATTTGGAAGAAAACCTCGTGTTTTTCTTGCCTAAATCTATTATATTTGTTAATAATTTTAACACAAGATAAGAAAATTGACCGGATAAGATATTAACCCATACAAGCATATGAGATTAAGACATTATTTATCCTTTTTTATCAACAAATTTGTTACTAATTGCCAAACAACCTATGCTGCTTAGTAATAATCTCTTTCTCTAAAATAAAATATCGAATAGGGACTTAATTAGCTGAAACAAGAAAAAAAAAAAAAAGTTTGTGAGCGAAATTTAAAAAGAAGAAACATTAAGCATGATTTACCAAAAAAAGAAACATTAAGCATGGGTCCCTGCAATTCTGATTCTTACGCGTTAATAATTCTTTTTTCTCTCTCCATTAGCGAGGCCGTTTTTAAGGGAATTATATTTTTTAAAAGATTAAATTATATTAAATTATAAAATATAATATAATTTATTAGGTAACTTTCATTTTTTTAATGATTAAATTAGATAATTTTTTTTGTTAGATTTAAAATTTATATTAATTTTTATTTAATTTTAAATCAAATAATATTAAACTCATACACTTAATCTCACAACTCATTAATTATAAATTAATTCATAAGATATATTTTTCAACTCGAAAAAATCGAGAATCGAATTCCTTACTTCCAATTTATAACCCTCTTTAAAAAAAAAAACATTAAACTCACAAAAAAAAAAACCCCCTCATAATTCATACTTTTAATTTCTTATTTTAGAAAATTAAATGTCTTTTACTCATATTAATAAGTGATTACTACAATTTTCTTATTTATTCGCCCTCTCCGTCCAATGTTTCTGCTTTACAATGGGGTAGGGTCCAGACTAGATAATATATTTTTGAATTTTTTTAATCAATCTCTTTATTTCCTGGAATATTTTTCCTGGAAAACTCAGTCCATTTTCCCTCAACCCCAATCAAAAATTTTCCATTTCCTTCAATCTGGGTTCTAAATGGGTCAGCACCAATCAAAGGATGAGTTGGTCTTCCAGCAAGTGAATTATGGCAACATCGAAGGGATTAAAGCTCTTCGGAGAGAAGGTGCAAGCCTTGAGGTACCAATTTAGAGGAATCAATGATTCTTAAATCGACTGTTTATTGTATTAGCGTTTGTTGATGATTAAATTTTGATATCTCAAATCGTATGTGATGTTGTGGTCGCAGTGGATTGATAGAGAAGGGAAAACGCCATTAATATTGGCGTGTATGAATCCTGAGCTTTACAATGTTGCCAAAATTTTGATAGAACTCGGTGCCAATCCCAATGCTTATCGTCCAGGTTTTCTCTAGTTTTTCCCCCTTTTGCGATATCTTTAGTGACAAATTTTGTTTAGTTTGATTTTGTGGGGTTAAGTTGAAGCTATGCATTGTTTGAAGAAGCAAAAAAAAGGGTGAATTTTGAGTCTTATGTCTTGTGTACATGAAACAAAATTTTGAAAATTTGGCGCATTTGGTTGATATTGGATGTAGATTTGAAATCATATATGAATCTTAGTTTTTAATTCCATGGCAGACTGTTTACTTCCAAGGAAGTAAAGTATTTCTTTTTTCTGAAATTTTGCGAGAATTTCTGGATGCATACTTATGTGAAGGAGTTATTAAAAATGTATGAACTGAATTGACATCAGTTTGTGAATTTATACTTTGTTAGTAATTTTTCTGTTGTTCTTTAGGTCGGCATGCTGGGACTCCTTTACACCATGCAGCAAAGAGAGGCCTTCAGAATACTGTCAAGTTGCTTCTGTCGCATAGAGGTTGTTGTCTTCCCATTTTTGAAATGCAATGATAAAATGGACTTACTTATATGTTTGGTTTGAACTCTCATCAATAGTCTTATTCTTATAGATGATATGTTACAAATTTTCAGCAAACCCACTGGTGGTAAATGATGATTGTCAAACACCTTTGGATGTTGCCAGGGCAAAAGGGTTCAGCAATGTTGTTCGTGCAATTGAGGTATATCAAATTTAATTCTTCATTTTGTTTTTTGAGTAACTAACATGACACTCGAACATAGACTACTTCCCTCTGATACCATACAGGATCATATTTGCTTATTCTCTGGTTCGATGCGGGAGTTTTATGGGCCTGGATTTCTGGAAGCACTTACTCGTCAACTGCTTTCAAGAAAAGTGTGGGTATTAAGTTCTTTTGAGATCTTTTAATTAGTAAATTTTCATTCTTTTTCTTGCTTTTTATATTTTATGGAAAGGAATGTGAGCTTATGTCAGTATAGGTGCAATCCTTGCAGCTTTTGATCTATGCTTATTCTATTATTAAGAAATTGTTCAAAGAGTATCTGATATTCATCCTCTCATTAATGCATTTGCAGTTGGGTTGTTATTTTACCAACTGGTTCTCGTAATATGTCAAAGCCTTTCAAATTGGACCTAGCCATATACTCTGGGGAGCAGGTATGACCAATATAATTTGTCTCTTAAAATTTTTTCTATCTGTATTAATCAAAGCTCTTTCGGTGCAAAATAAGATGATCTGAGCTTATTATCTTGGGTGTTCAAGATTGTGGGTTAATCAAGATGCTGTCATTTAGATAGTAGAGCTCTTCTAAAGGAGGGACATGATTCAAAAACCTATCAGCTTGGCAAAAATTTGCTCAAACCAAGTGCATTGCCATTATCAAGCTGATCACAATCATTATTGTTATCATCATTGTCTGAAGGATATTGTTTCTATCTTGTTAAGTCAGACACCATAAGCATGACTATTTAAGATTTATTATGTTTTAATCTGCAATATATAATTAAAAATTCAGATTAGGTTGCTTACCCTGCAATATTCAGATTAGGGAAAAGTAGTATTGATGCTCCAATTGGTGAATGGATCCCAAAATTAGATACTGGTTCTCTCAACAGTTTTGACCAAGGGTTTGGATTGGCATCCATTAAGTAGATCTCTCTACAGATGCTCAAGTTCAATTGTGTGTTATAGATGGCACGTTTCTTTTCTTTTATAATCATGGTCTAAATTTTTTATGGCTGAGACACATCAAAAGTCGATCCCTAGGGGATTATAATTAATAAAATCCCTTTTCTCCCCTGGCTCTTTAAATAAATAAATAAATAAATAAATAAAATTACCAGTAATTCTCTCCTTCTAATAACTTGTTTCAACAGATCTTAGCTTTGTAAATTATTTGTGGATAACCTCTTCCATAACTAACTCTCAAAAGGAATTCTTCCATGTAGAGAAGATATTGTTATTTTTTCCTGCTATTTTTCAAATCACCATGCTTGCATCTTTTCTCTTCAAACCATTTTCTCTTTCTAACTTCCTAATGATGGTGAATGAACAGGATGCCCAACCACGCACTATCATTGCATTATGGAAAGCTACTCTAGAGGAACCAAAGCCCAACCAGCCTGATCCTTCAGTGATAATTCTTGATAACTCAACAAGTAATATTCCTTGCCAATCAATTATCAGCAAATATTGGATTCACAGTTTCAAACTGTATTTTAGATTTTGAATTCAAAATTTTCAGTAAATATTTAATAGTGTCAAGAGGCAAGGGGCAGAGATGAGTGAGGTGTAAGCCTTGAACAATTTGGTGTATCTATGATAATGGTTAGTAGTTTAGAACTACTTTTAAAATGAAAAAGCTATAGGAGAAAATAAGTATAAGATAAACTAGTCCTGGCTTTTCAAATTAAAAAAAAGAATGATAAACCAGTCCTTGATTGAACGTAAATTTTGGTTTAGGTTAGATCTTTCTTAATGTGTCCCAATCTCTGTTCTGAGTACACACTCCAGATGGTTTGATGCAAAATGATTATCTATTTTCTTTTAGCTTACTACTTATAGTTGTTGGTTTGACTTTTTAAATAATAAATATTACTTCATACTTGAGGTTGTATTCAACATGTTCTGGTTCCTTTTCAGAAACACGCATTAAGCTTGCTCCTGCGAAGGAAAATGACTGGCAGCAGCTTCAGTGGTTTTGTGATGGATGCAAAGGAATTACTCAGGTACTTCATGTGCTTTGTGACAGATGTTGCATCCTGTATCTTGGTCTAGAGGAGAGTGCCAGATCTTATGTTTGTGAGTTGTGACTGCTAGGAGAAATGATATGATGTGGATGAAAAGTTTACCATGATTTATCACAAGCTGCATGTCCAGTCAACTCTTTCAATAGCGAACTGTCTTTATTTGAGTTGTTTTGACATTCCCAAGTCTAAACAATTGTAGGCAATTCGTCCAGCCTTTCTGCAAAACTCTCAGCCTCCAGCTTCACAAGCAACTGCACCACCAGTTCCAGATGCAGGGGATTTACAATTAGCAATGGAACAGAATGCCTCTATCCAGTCTGCCATTTCAGAGAAACCAGTGTTTGATGTGCAGTCGAGCAGCGAAGCAAGTGCATCCACAAGTAGGAATGGCGCTCAAAGTACTGGAAGCCAGAATAGTCCAGGTGCACTAGCGTCTTTGATTCCTCCAAAAGCAAGCTGCAGTGAGTGGAAGGCACCTGAAGCTGGCTCTAGCAGCAGTGCAACTCAGGGCACGTGGATCCAGAACAGTAACATTCCTGCTGTCCCAGTTACAAATCAAACCTCAGATTTCATCCCATCAGCCCCACCAATTGCAAATGAGATTATAGAAGATGGTCATCCTATTCACTATCCATCAATCGATACCAGCCCCATTGATTTATCTACCCCAACTGATGTTACTGACCCAAAGAACGAAGATGGAAATCCGTCATCCTGTGTGATATGTTTGGATGCTCCATCTGAGGCTGCTTGCGTTCCTTGTGGTCATGTTGCTGGGTGTATGTCTTGTTTGAATGAGATTAAAGCCAAGAAATGGGGTTGCCCTGTGTGTCGTGCCAAGATTGAGCAGGTTATAAAAATCTATCGTGTTTGACCAACAAAGCAGAACTTGTGCAAACTGTATGTTGTTGCAGTGATCCCCACATCTCCAGAATGCCTTTTCTCTTTAATTATGGAAATACTGAATCTGAATATTAGAATCCTTGCTTGGTTATGAGCCTTTTACCAGCATCTCCTACTGTATCCATGGAGTTTGCAATTAAAAGGAAATGTATTATACGTTGCATCAGCAACTTATAGTCCGTTGCAATTTGCATTTGCAATTGAACATCACTCAGAACGCATTTTGTCGGATACTGTACTGTACATTTTGTCTCTATACAGATCTTCCGTTGAAATATATGCATATAGTTGGCTACAGCATTGTGCATCGTTTTGCTTCTGTGTGTTTCAGTATTTGTTTGAAAGTCATACTCATAGCACCTCTGCCTATTTTTGTTACTATCTGTATTCTTACTGGATATTTTTTGTAATATACGAATGGTAATTTAATTTTCTTTATAAAATGAAATTGCTTTATAAAAATTACATATTAGTAGTAAGAAAAATTTTAAATTATTATTTATGTATTATAAAAAGAAATGAAAATAGGAGTATTGTGTATTGAAAATTTTCAAATTGTTTTTTCAGTTCCTTATTATTTTTAAAATATATAAAATATTAATTAAAATTAATAAAAGTATTTAAAAAATTAGTTATGTGAAAAAAAAATAGATAAGAAGCACCTATAAATGAAGCCTAACTTTAGATAGACCGCGAAAAAAGAAAAGAAAAAACGATATTGTGGAATGAAAATCTTATAATTTTAATGGTATGTAATATTATAAATTTATAATATAATATATTATTATAAAATGTTAATATGTGTCAATCTCAATTCTTAAAAGAATTAAAATTTTAATTTAAAATTTAAAAATATAATTAATT